CGATCACCTCGCCGCCATCTTTCCCGATATGGATAAACAGGTCTTTCGATCTGATGCTTTTTTGTGGATTTATTGCCATTTCTACGAATTTGAGGAATCTATGATGCTTGTTGGTAGTTTGTGTAATGAGATTGTTGACATTTGTGGAATGTTATAGATTCTTGAGCGGGCAATCGAGGAATGTGGAGATGATCTTGATTCAGCAATTAGATGTTTGAATCAGCTTCGTCTTGAATCTGCATCTAAGAATTCAGATTCTGGTACAAACCAATCTTCTGTAATCCAGGAAACAAATGTTGAAGCTCAGCAGCAAGGTAGTCTTTTTGGAGTTTTCTAAAACTAGTTTCAATGGATGTCTCAAACTCCTCTTACCAAATTCTGATTATAAAACCGGTGTTTTTTGTTGCAGGATCAGCCAAGGAGGAAGTTTTAGGTAATGGAGAACCAAATGTCTTGAATTTGGATGGCACTGAGTGGGTTGAGCTCTTTGTTAGGGAAATGATGAGCGCTTCTGACATGAAGGACGCGAAAGCTCGTGCTGCAAGAGCGTTGGAAGCTTTGGAGAAGTCCATCAATGCACGTGCTGGTGCTGAAGCAATGCAAAGTCTCCAACAGGTGACCTTTTCTTCACTCTTTAATTAAAATCAGTCTTGTTGTCGGAGATGGACATCTGTCTGTGAACATCGATTTGTTTTGTTTCACAGGAAAACATGATGCTGAGGCAGCAATTAGAAGCCATTGTCCAAGAAAACAGTTTGCTCAAACGAGCGGTGGTGACGCAACAGAAGCGGCAGAAAGAAACCGAAGATCAAAGCCAGGAATTGCAGCATTTGAGGCAGCTAGTCACTCAATACCAGGAACAGCTGAGAACTCTGGAGGTCTGTAATGTCGTCTTGACACTAACTTATATACAAATTTCTCGTCTTTTTGTTGATATGGTTAAATCTAAAGTTAACGTCAAAGTTTGAAGCAATTGTATTTGATTGGTGTTTCCAGGTGAACAACTATGCTCTGACGCTTCATCTGAAACAAGCACAGCAGAACAGTTCCATTCCGGGGCGGTACCATCCAGACGTCTTCTAATGCTTTGTGAGAGGCTCACACATATAATATATATCTCATTTCGTTTCCAGTGTATGTTTTTCTATGTTGAATTGTGACTAATTTATACATATATATCAAGTCTGGAACCATTGATGAATGGCAATAGTTGGGGAACAAAACAGTGTTTTTGTCTGTAAATATTTGTCTTTTGAGTCCGAAGATGGATTTCAGGTTTATTGCAATCTAAGATTATCTTTAAATTTTTAGAAAAGAAAGAATCCAATATAGATTTGTGGTAACCATGAATCAAATTCTGATCTAGGAGCTTGTATTTTAAATTCTGAAAGAAAATGAAATTAGAAACAAAAAGATGATAAGGGATTTGCCCAACACGAAACCAGATCGGATTGACCAAAACGCACAAAAAACAATATAACGCAGTTGAAATTAAACATTTCGATTTCATATGCAAATCACATAAATCAAATGTTTTTGTTACTCTCTGTGTTGTAAGCACTTAACTTTTGCTTATTAAAGCCATGAGTTTGTAATTTATTGACCAAAAACAAGTACAGTATTAGTAATTAAAGACCGGATAGAGGGGTAGAACAGT